ATATACAATGTAAAATAATGAGATATAATAATATAGTAGTATTATTATCGTTACTATTGCAATATTATTATTATTATATATTATTATATCATATATATATATATATATATATTATATGTATTATTATATTATTATATATGTAATAATAATATATAATGTAAAATAATGTGACATAAATGATACAGTGGTGTTAATAATTATTACTATATACATTACTATACTATATGATAGATATATCGCTATATATATTTTTCAATATCGATACACTTACTCCTGATCTGCTTGTCAGCAAGCCAGTGGAGCCATCGTAGGCGAGTGCAATTTCAGCCCTGCCTCGTTCGGAGAGCTTCTCCAAAAATCCCACCGCGGAGATCTTCAATTCAGACTTGTGATCCTGCGTGTTCTCTATAGAGCTGACCACGCTGCTGTAATCCCTCAGGAACTGAATCTTATTGCCAGCGCTGTCCGTCACTGTGGACAATTTCCCGAAGCTTGTATTCTTGCTGTAGAGGAACGAGTAACGAGTCTTGCCGGACGTCAAGTCCTTGGTGAAAATGTGTTGGCCGTAGCGATTGAAGACGTAGACCTCGTTCGACGGTGGGAACGGGATGTGAAACTCGCCGGTTTCGTCGTGATTCGGTAGGTAAGGTTGCAAGGCGAGGATGTGCAAGCTGCCTTGGTCAGCCACGTGCAGGACACCGTCCGGCGACACGGCCAACGCAGAGATGGCGGTGAATTTGGCGTTGGACGACAACAGGGTCTCGGTGCTGCTTGTGTCGTCCGTACACGAACAGCTCTCGAGGTCCTTGGTGCTCGGTGTGGTATTGTTACACTCGCATTGGCCGCGTAACCGTTCTTGCTGCTGTCCAGCGAAGTGAGACATTTTCCCGGAACTGTCCACGATCTTGATAGAGTTCACTCTGTGCGAATCACTTTCCGCTATGTAGAGTTCACCGGTCGGACTGAAGCTGACAGCGAGCACCGAGCCAAGAACTTCGTCGGGCTTCTTCGAATTGATGGCCGTCGTCGAATTCACTTTCTTCAGATCGCTGCTGTCGTTGCTGTTCCCGTTGCCGTTGGTGCTGCTGCTGGTGGTGCAGTGCAGCGGCGTACCAGCTACCACGCGAACTTTCAGATCGCTGGTCAGCTTCAAAACGAGCCTGTCGTCGATGAAGTGAAGAGACCCGTCCAAAGGACTCAACGTTAACCCGGTTGGCCATTGTAATTGAGCTTGATGAGCCGGTATAGCGCCGACGCACGGAGCCGGTGACCAGTGATTGTGGTGTCCATGGTGTCCCACTAACGTATGGATGATACCATGGGGATCTACCGCTCGTATGTTCCTTCCGTCAGCGATGTACATGGTCTTGTCGGCGGCAATGGCGATCCCTTTGTTCACACGCAAAGAAACGATTTCGTTAATTTTTTTTTATGTTAGATACATCTCGCATCATACAATATCCATCACTATTATTATTTACCAACGTTGAGAAATTTCTTTTTATCTGTATAGATAATACTCGATACACAAACAAAATACTTATCCTTTTAAATTAATTATCCAACGTTAAATTATGCAGATATTAATGAAAGTTTACCTTTCGGATGAGCCAATTTGGCACGAATAGCTGGACCTTCGTCGCCGCAATGGCTTTCGTCGCCAGGAATGCATCTCTCCCCGCTTCCGACGACGGGCTCGATGTTGAGGCTAGGATGTTGCACGTTTTTCAGCGACAAAGCTTTCAATATCTGATGCTTCTCCGGGTCGCTGATGTACAGGTGTCCGTCCGCCGGTGAAACGCAAAGATAATATTCGTAAGCTACCTGAGTTGCGCTGAAAATAAAGAAAAGAAAATTTCAAAATTTATCCAAAGGGAATCCGATCACGGTAGGTCTTCAACTGAGATTCGATCGCGTTGATATATCTTGCTTGTTTCAACCACTACTGGGTTGTTGAAATTATCATCAGATACCTGTTTGTAATTATTACGTTTGTGCGTGTTCTCACCTCAGAGTTAGAACGGTGTACACGTTCCCTTCAGGCGTGATCCTGCGTACCAAATTGAAGTCGCCCACGTAAATGCTTCCGTCTGGGCCACTGGTTAGCGCCACCGGTGTCAACAGCCTGGCGTCCTTGGCCAGGCCGTCGCAATCCTGGCAGACCAGGCTCCTCTGCAGCCCAGTGCCCATTACCACTTTCACCGTGCGAGGATACTGCTTGAAATGCATCGTGGTGCCGTCACCCTTTTGAAGTATCCCCTCGTGGAAGTTGTAGTGATGGTGAATGTCTAATCCCCAGCCGCCGATATCCGAAATATCGACGTCGAAGCCTTGCAGCGTGGCTGTTTGCGTCTCCCAGATCACCGTCGGGCAAGTGGAATGTTGATAGCCGATCGAGATCCTCGCCTGTGCTACACCGTACACCTTCTGCTTGTAAACGTTCCGTTTGTTCCACGCGAACGTGTGCGTCAGATTCGGATCTGCCTCGTAGGTCTTGGTGTGCAGCGAGCCCTCGATCTCCACGTGCACGTGCACGTGCGTCAGCGATTTCGGGATGAACGAGCCGGTCAGTTGCATCCTCACAGTCGATAGGTAACCAGCCGCCTGGCTGCTCTGGTACATCAGGTGTAGGTTCGAGCCAGGAATGGCGATGCTCTCCTGCACGATCTGCGAGAAACAAAAGATCCAGAAGATCGGATCTATCCGAGGTGCTAGCCCTTTTCGATTGGATGCTTGGATATCTTAGGTTACGAAGGTAGTTATATGGGAAACGGATAGGAATTTCGAGAGCTGACGTATTCATAGCTTGTCTCACGGATCAGCCATTTGTTATTAATTAACAGAGAAGGACCCGATTTTGTTTGCGAGGTCGCGTCGTGACACTTGGCATCTGGCAATGATTTTCATAATTACCGTACGTACTTGTAAAAAAACAAATTCATAATCCCAACGATTCAAAGTTCCACTGTTGCACTTTAATTTAACTTAAACTACGAAAGATCGTAGAAAAGTGGAGCTCTCGTTAAAGCGTTGCAATTTAATAATTATCATAACGATTGAACGACGAACGAAAGAAGGAAAAAGAAAGGAAGAAAAAGGAGGAAATCATTTACCTGACTCTCAGCGAACACCAAACTTTTGCCTGGAAGGCCGCCCACTTTCTCTGGCATCCAGGTGCTGACGATGATCGGCCTCAGCAGCTCGTGGTCGTGCTCCAGGCACGGGCCGTGCTCGCTAAATAGTCCCATCGATATCCCTGGGAAGCCTATTATATTGTACGCCATAAATGGTAAGCAACTTAAAAACATAAAACACCTAAGGACGGAACAAAGACGGCACACACGATCAACAACCGCTGCCTTGTGGACTCCTCGTTGCACATTGACGAAGGACGACGACGATGAAACAACGAACACGAGACGATTAAACGTAATATCAAACGTAACGTTTAAATGACAACGAACGAAAGGGGCAAAGCAAAAGATTGTACAAAATGGAACAA